CCAGTTTGACTAAAAAAAGTCAAATTGGACAAATACACTGAGTAATGTTCAAAAGTTCAAAAATTGGAATTGGATTAGTACTACCCACTCCTTCTTTCGTACGTACATAATTGACTAGATAAAAACGAAAGCAAACAACAAAGGTGTCGTGGTGTAGTTGGTTATCACGTCAGTCTAACACACTGAAGGTCTCCGGTTCAAACCCGGGCGACGCCATTCTTATATTTTTTTGTATTTTCAGTTTCGTTTTTAAGCTCCCATGCTCTAAATCAGAGTTTCACATCAAATCTTTAGCTACCGAACACACTTATTAGAACTTTTAAGTTTTCATCATTTTTTTTGGTTTAAATATTATGATTATAATAAGATTTACAATTGGAAAAAAAATTACACCCTTTTTTAGAAATATTGAACGAGTATGATAATGTTTAATCATATTAGAATATGTGTAGTATTTTTATGAGTGAACTCTTAAAATAGTTGTTTCAATAAGATGTTTTTGAACTTATCCTCAATAAGCAATAACTATTTGTGTGATCTTTTATAATTTAAATTTATTTTTTGAATGATCATTTGTCGAAAATGTCTATTAAATGTCAGTCAAATAGAAAATTTTTACAAATGGTCTATTACAAATCATTATTTTTTTGTTAATTTATATTGCCTCTTATTGTATAAGAAAAATCTAGGGATGCTACCCCAAACTTTTGTTAATTCTACTCAAGAATCAGTAGTAAAAAGATCAAAAGAGAAGAGATGAGAAGTTTTTGGACAAGTCTATTGAAAAAATTCACACCTAATAAATATTTGAATTGAAAATTATTATTTTTTGTCAATTTTTATATTGTCTATTACTGCAAAAAAAAAAAGAAAAAAAAAGAAAATCCGTAGATGCCACCCCCAAACTTTCGACTATCCAAAGTCAACCGCCACGAGCTTCAATTTTGGTGCATAACTCTACTCAAGAATCACTAGCAAAAAACTCAAAAAACAATTTCTATGCGGCGAAGTTGAATATGGAATATAAACCCAATGTAAAGAATGATCCAAACGAAGAAAAGAGATGTAATATTTTCAATTTTTTCAAGAGAGAAAAGGAGAAGAGATGACAAGTTTTTGGACAACAAAATCTAAACAGAAAAAATTAAAACTAGATGAAATAATATAAAACTTCAAACTTATCAAAGCCAGGTTTCAATCCTGGGACCTGTGGGTTATGGGCCCACCACGCTTCCGCTGCGCCACTTTGATGATGTTGACTTCTAACAATAGAAGAAAAAAAATTTGTTTCCGGTGAGAGTGTTGGCGATTGGAGTGATGGAAATTTTTTCTTCTTCTTTTAGGCCGTTCTCTGCTTCTTTATCACTTTCCATGCTCTCAATCTCTAGAAAAAACACAGACAAATGCAACTTTAATTTTCCGTTCTTTGATCACACACTTGATTTTTTTGGAAGGGAGAGAGATAATGGATATTTTTAGAGAAAGAGAGGGATAATGGACGATGGCTTTTAGGCACGCTTGTCGAGATCAGTCGGTGCCGCCATGCTGTCAGACGGCCGACCGTCATGAACAAAGACCAACGATTTGCTTGGTCATGAAAAGAAGGGCTAGGTTTTTTAGTGCCTTAGCTCCAATACCATGATATAATTTGATAAAATTATTCTTATTGAATAATGAATGATACATCCATATATAAATAAATAAATAAATAAATATATGGAAGGTATTAAATAGTACTCCGTAATATTCTATTTTATACTCCGTAATACATTTATTATTCCTAATATTGTTGTCGTTGTACTTTCATATAAATTTTATTTTATTTTTAGTTTTATATCAATATTCCAATATATTGAATTGAAATAATTTTATTCAAAAAACTTAAATAGAGATCGATGTATTGACTTCATTTATAATATACTCTATAACATTCATCACAATCAGATAAGAATGCTCATGTGCATCTTAGGTGCATATTAAAATTTGTCTATAAGTATATATTTTTAAATTGAACGATTACAATATTTTTAATTTGGACGAAAATAATACGGAAAATTTAGTATTTGGTGTAGTAGTTTAAAACGTACGGGGTAGTAGCAATTAAATTACGGATTAAATTATTCAAACACTCGCAGATACAAAGGACGAATAAATTTTTAATAAACAAATACGGCGTAATAAATAATTTTCGCCTGTCTTAAATATAAAAAAATAATATTTTCTTGGTCCTAAAAAGATGACTATAGTTTCATTTTTTCATGATATTGTACAATACTTTGATCACAAATTAAATACTCCATCCTTCCACAAAACCCTTCCGGTTTTGACTTTGGGGAAAAATAAGGAAATTGTAATTTTTGTTGACTTTCCAATTTTGCCCCTGATGTGATGAGAAAAAGTAAGATATGATAGTTTGGTTATTAGTGAAAAAGTATGATGTGATAGGTAGGGTATGAAAAAGTAGGGGTAAAAGTGGTTTTTTAATAGAAAGTGGAACTGTTTTGTGGAAAACAAAAAAAAACGAAAGAGGAAGGATTTTGTGGAACGGAGAGAGTATCATTTTAAATAATTAAATATATTAAAATTTGATACATCAAAATCTTGTTTTAAATCGAACCCAATTTTACTAAATTTATATTATCACAAAAATACATTTACATAATTTATAATCAAGATGTTTTTTTAATTTGACTAAAAATAATTAAGTCTGTCACCACATGGAAGGCACACAACTCAAAGTTGGTTGCTTCGCTTTTGCTTGTTTGTTTAGAGCATGCGGAGCGGCGTTGCATTTCCTCGCTCGCTGCGCCACATCAGCTCCCTTGCCACTTTTGCCTCGCGTGGTTCAGCCTCCCTCCATGCCAAGCGTGTGAGGCGCGAGGCATCCTCAAGTTTTTTTTTGTTTTTTTTATTTTTTTTATTTTTTAGAAAAATAATTTTTTTTAAAAAAAGAGTACATCTATATAAAAAAGATAAATGAAATAATTTTTAATAATTGAAATGCTTTAAAAAATCATAAAAATTGACAAAAACAATGACTTGCCACTGTACGAGATGCCTCTCTACTCACTTGCCACACGCTGACTGGATTGTCTTTTATTGGTTGAAATGTGCCACGTCAACGTGTGGCATTCCATTTCGTTACTTGTCATTGCCCGTGCTCTTAGCTTGGATTTCGAGTCATAGCTTCTTCTCGTTTTTAGTTTTTTGAAAAAAAATAGATGAGTCCAATCGCGAAAAGTCGCATCTGATCCAATCGGACGATAACTGAAAAGAAATAAAATGTCAACCTAAAATTTGGGTCGTGGCTGTTTCCCGAACACCATCTTAGCGTGAATAATATTATATCACAATACATCATATTTCCTCCGTCCTAGTATATTTGTTAAGTTTAACTCTTTTTTTTTCGAGTCAAACATAATGAGTTTTGAGTTTCAATAAAACAAAAATGATTCTCTGTAATGCATATTAGTATAAAAATGATTTTATTAGATAAATTTTAGCTTAATGAGATGTTTCAAAAATTATTTTATTGTACTAATATTAAATAAAAATTGAGAGTAATTGAACATCAAAGTTTACTCCTTGAGAGTAATTGAACCTAACTTCTACCTTTACTAATTCTTAACCAACTTATCATATTATACCTTTTTATTAATAATAATCTATCAATCACATACTACTTTTATCTATCACATTAAGAGTATTTTTGGAAAGTCAATATTAAATTAAAACTCCCTTTAATTTCCTTAAAATCAAAATGGAAACACCTTTATGGAATGGTGGAAATAGAACTTTTGATGCAATTTTTTAATATATAATTTTTATTTTTTAATTCCATACCAAATTTTACTTATATTGATTTGAAAAGAATTTTAGTCAAAGATTGTTAAAATAAATTGGAGCTTCATTTTAGGACGGAGGGAGTGTAATTTTTAATTTTTAATTGTACACTAACTTTTACTTATATTGATTAGAAAAGAATTTTAGCCAAATATCATAAATCAAACAGAAGTTTTAAGACGAAGGGAGTGTATATATTTTTAACCAATTCAATTCCAACCATATTTTTTTACACAGAATATTTGTATGCGAAGAATGTTATATTCTTCGGGCATGCTAAGAGTACACCAAAATGGTGTGCCCCATTTCTACTCTAGCAACACGAACATTATGCGTCTGTGGATCATAAGCACATAATGTTTCTGTTGTCGGTATTGCTCTGCAGCTACCTTTATTCTATATTCTCTCCATCCCAAAATGGATTAAAATTTGTTTCTTTCACGCATCGCTAACTTTTGCTTATATGTGTATCTTAATTCATTATTTGATAAAATAAAATATTTTTGTCACCTCTATTTTGTTTTGTAGAATTTTTTATATCATTTTTTAATATATAATTTTTATATTTTTCTATTTTAATGTTATTTTTTTATTAATTTACCAATTTGTCATATTTCGAATAAACATAAAAATAAAGGTAATTAGAGTACACAAATAGTAAATTCTTCAGTGGACCTAAGGACCATGCTTATTATATGGACTTTATTGCACTTGTAATATAAAAGAAATGAATCTTTTCAAAAAAGAAAAATATCAACATACAAGCCTATTAAAAATGTGAAAAGATCTATGTGAACGTGTTTTAATTGTGGACTTTAAGATAATTTAAATATCACTCCTACCAAAGTACCAAATAAGGACAGAGCAGGGTAAAGCCGAAAGGTGCGGCTACAAATAAGGCCGATGGTTTCAACAATAAGGTGAGGCCAGCTAAAAAGATTTCTCCAATCATCAAAGCTAAAATAAATTAATTTTACTTTGACGTAGAAATTGGCACTGTCTAAAGTGAATGACGACCTTGGCATGCCAACCTAGTCTAGTGTTTTCACTTTGCCAATTCTTTTTCTTTTTGTTTTGTTCGGTTCCGGTTCAGTGGATTTGTCCAGTTTTAAATCAATTTCGCTTTATATATAGTAATATACACAACTGAAGTTACTGGCCAAACTATCGACCGTTCGATCGGTTTTAACTTTGATCCATTTTATTTAAATTTTTTATTAACTAGTTTCGATTTTTATTATTGTTTTAAGCCATAACTTTATTCAGAGACGAAGAAAATATTTTTCAAGAAATTTATGGTTTGGTTTCATAGTAAAGGTATGAAACAATGAAGAGTTATGCTAGGTATACTAGTGTCTACAGACACACACGGACAATAATTATCTATGTGTGTAGAGACAATCAAATATGACTTTAAAGCTCGTGTGATTGCCCTATACTCCCTTTGTTCCACAATTGATATATGACGCACTCCCAACAACGTGCAAATTCTCTTCAGTTCTAAAATCAATTTAAATACAAATTGGTATATAAATAAAAAGTATAAATTACATTATTCAGAAATACATAAAAAATATTACAAAGCAAGAGGTGACAAGAATGCTCTATTTTATCAAATTATCAATGAAAACACATATATAAACAAACACAAGTTATCGAGAAGCCGTAATAATTAAAGTTGTATCCATTATGGAGGGAGGGAGTAATTGAAGATCATATAGATACCTTTACATACATTTCCTCGTTCCATTAGGAAAGATCAAAATAAAAAATTATCGAGAAACTAGTCGTAATAATAACAGTCGCATCCATTTTGGAAGAAAGAGAGAGTAGTTGAAGATCATATAAATTCTTTCAAATACATTCCTTCCCTCCATTGAGGAAAGATTGAAATCAAAATTAGCCATCTATTCTTTTTACCATCTAAGCCAATTTCAACACTACTCTACTAGTATAAGTGAAAGTAAATTTTATCATATCATGTGAGATATATTCACAAAACCTAAATTAACAGGGGATTATTGAATATGCTAAATTTGTGTATGCTCTAATTTGGACCATCAACTAACACTCATTTGGGGGGGGGGGGGGGGGG